TCGAAGCTTGATTTGAGTTACCCACCCCCTTTGGCATTGATTCGACGTTGACCCACTCTTATTCGACCCTTTATGCATCAGACCAACGAGCCTAAGGTCATTTGAACTCGAATTAGGGAGCCCGAACCTTCTCGGCGTTGACCCACCCCTAACCCAATAGGGTTAGTGTGAGTTAGTAGTTAACGACTCACCTAAATTTAGTTTTGATGCAAGTTAAGTGTTTTTAGTTAGTTCTAACCCAAGCTTTGTTACCTTTGATTTAGGGAATCCTTCGGCGAGCTTAGAAGTGTGTTAGGGCCCTTGAGTAAGTAGTTCTTACTTGTGGGGATGTTTGTTGTTTGAATATGCATGAATTGTTTGGTGTGTTCTGTGTGTTTTTATTATCCAATAATATGAATGTTGACTATCTATTTGTGAATGTTAGTGATTATGAGTATTTTGGATGAAATCATGCTGGTTCTAATTGGATGTGATTGATTAGGTTTGTGTTGTTGGACTCAATGCTTAATTGTAGTTATGAAAGCACACTAGAATAATTTTGTTGAGCATATCGTTTAATTATTAGCTTGCTATTTTTGGTTCTGGAAGCACGCTGAACTTCGTTGTGAGTTAAATGTTGCATGGGTCATGGCTTAGTAAGCATGTACTAGAACTCTGGTGAGAGTGTTCTGTTATGAAGTGAATGGGTGAGTATTAGGGCTAGAGGGTTGATACGTCACTAGTTGGGTATCGAGGCACCGGGTACAAAGGTCGGGGATCGATACGTCAACTTTGGACAAAGATGAGTGTCGAGGCTTCGAATAAATGGTCAAAGGTCGATGCGATGAATCTTAGAGGGAAGGCAAGTATTGGGGCCTTGTGGGAAAAGGACAAGGACCAATATGTTGTAAACTCATCGAGGCCTTTAATAGATGGTCAAGGATCGATGCAACAATTTGAGGCCTCGGGCAAAGGTTGGGGATCGAATGCCAAGTGTCGTAGAGAAGTGTCAAGGCTCTGAATAGATGGTCAGGGGTCGGTGCGACTCGAGGGAGTAAGCCTTGGAGGAATATGAGAGAGAATGAGTGAATCGTGATGTGAGGATTGAGTTTGGGCATGTAGAATGCATGTTTAGCTTAACTTTGCATTTCTTATGATTGAGCCACAAAAAAGGAAGGTGAACTTTGTTGGTATAAGTAGTAACTATCAATTCTTTTAAGCCTTTTCTTAACCATGCGCTTCCATGGTCTCAGGATCCCTCTCATTTGGATGTGGTATCAGTTCATTCATGTACCCCTCCTCTTTAGTCGAGCGTCACATGCCCACCAACATCCGCCTTGGTTCGTCCTCGAACCACATCCTACTGGGAGAGGTTCCGCTGTCCGGATTCGGCACCTCTTTGCCCCGGCATGGTTCTTCCAACATGCTTTGTCCTCACTCACATTCATGTACCCCTCCTGTCTAGTTGGGCGTCACATGACTGTAACGCCCCGAATTTCACTACGAAGAATGAGGTAACGTTACCATATTACCTATTCACCCATTTCTATTAAGGGAAACATAAAGTGTAATGTCCCCGGAATTTCAACATGAAATATCGAGGTAATGCTATCACCTTCCTTGTTCAATTCCTCTCCAACAAAGAGACATGAAGCAATTATTTTAAGAACAACCGTGGGGTTCATACCACAACCAATTCCTAAAGAACGCATGTCTGCCTCAGTGGCTAGTAATCCAATAAGAGAAAAGGAACAATCAATTAGTCCAGCAACCCAAAATACACCAGAGACTCAAATAATAATAATAATAAAACAAAAAACAAAAGTTCGCCCAAAAAAGAAGGAAAAAAAACGTTCCGTGAGTCAAACCAATATTTAGTACACCACTATCAATAAATCTCTAACGCTCCTAGCAATGAAACTACAGTTCAGGTATCCTAGACAAAAATGTAGCTAGTGATCCTCCCTCGGTCAAGCCTCTTCCACGTCATCACCACGGTCGAGGGTCCTGTTTACACCTGAAACAATTAAGGT